GCCGCCTTCGCCGCCGCCGCCGCCGCCGCCGGCCCCAAAAGCCTGCAGCAGGACTACAGCGAGGGCTACTCGTGGTGCCTGCAGGAGGCCGTGCAGTTCCTGACGCTGCACGCGGCCAGCGACACGCAGATGAAGCTGCTCTACCACTTCCAGCGCCCCCCTGCCGCGCCCGGCGCCCCCACCAAGGAGCCCAAGGCACCCGCGCCCGCGCCCACCCCGGCCAAGGCCAACGCCACCACCGCGCGCCAGCCCGCCTGCGGCCTCTGGCGGCCATGGTGACGAGGGAAGTGTGACCTGCCGACCCAGGACCAGAAAAGGCCAGCTGTTCCTCTGGGCGCTTAGGGTAGAGCCTTCCCAGCCGTCTGTCCCACCTCCGGTTCGGACGGCCCCCTCTCCCGGAAGACTCTGCCCAGGCTGGCGGGCCAGCAGGAGGGTCATTCTCAGAGAATGTGCATGCGGAGTCCTTTGTCATTTAGGACAGTCGGGGCCCACCTTCTGCCAGGTGTCTGACCCCATGGGGTTGTTCTGTGTTTGCATTTCAGCAAGCGACTTCTGCGAAGTCCCCGCTGCCCGGGGTTCTGTGGCATTGGTAGGCGCTGGGGGCTCAGCACCCCCGCTCGTTGAGGAGTTGAGGACTTCCCTCGGGCGTTGCTGCTGGGCCGGCGGGCCTGGCGGGCGGGCGTGCGTGCCTGCCGCAGGCACATTTGCCTTCCGTGAAGGCGGAACTCAAGGTGCATCCTCATAGGACAGGGTGTCAGCCTGGGTGGGCGCGAGGACCACGCGGAGCCGTGGGGAAGGCCGCTGCGCGGGCTCGGCTGTCTGGCCGGGTGCACAGTGGGCTGTGTGGGGAGGGTGGGGGTCTCCGCCAGGGTCCTTAAAGGATTCCCGTGCGGGCGGGTGCGCTGGGCTGGACTGTGTACTCAGAATCTGAACTCTGTCACGTGGGAGCCACGGGACTGCGCTGCAGACTTCCAATAAAACCGGACTAGTTAGCTCTCCGTTGTCAGCAGTCTCTTGTGTCTCACCTGTGTCCTTGGCAGCAGCCAGGCGGTCAGGTCTCCAGGAGTGAAGGAGAGTGGGCACTATCATGGTGTGCAACCATGGGCGGGACTCTCTGGACACAGGAAGAAGGGCTGGGTCCTGGTGGAGGGTAGTAGGAAGAGGGGGCAGGCCGGGCAGAGGCAGGCTGGAAGGGGCGAGGGCCATGCACTACCCGCTACAGGCGGGAGGAGGGGACACAGGGGAGACCTGGATTTCTGCCCCGGGCCTCTCACTAGCTCCTTGCAGGCGGGGGGAAGGGCCGGGGGCGGGGGGCAAAGTGATAGCTACAGGACTTTCCAGCTCAGTCCAGCTGAGAGGGACCCAAAGGCCACAGCCTGCAGTGGCACTGTTACTGCAAAAGGGATTTAGCTGAGACAAATACACAAGAAAACGTTTGTCCCTCCCCTGACCTTCCCCACATAGCTGGCAGTCCCTGTCCCCTGGACAGGCTCCTGGGGGCATCTGCTTGGCTAGCCCACAGGCGACTGCCCTGTGCTCCCTGTTGGCTGACCACTTACCAGGGTGAGAACAGACAGTGCTGGCCATGAGCCTGCCAAGGGAAGTCCCTTGCCTCGAAAAGGGCACCTATTTTTAGGCAGGCTACAGGGTGTCGGGTTGAGTTTGCAAGTGCCCTGGCTTGCCAAGGGGCAGAACCCACCCCGTGGGGAGTGGAAGGAGCTGGGCACGGCCCGGAAGGCATGCACATATTTTCAGAGACATGGGGCCCAGTCCCACCCACCCTCCCCCCTGCTCAGCACCTCTCTCCCCTCTGCCTTCCGTCCCTTTCTGTCCGCTCTACAGGGGATGTCCAAAGGCACCCCCTCCAGACCAGCCCAGTGCCTGCCAGTGGCCTCTGGGTCCCCGCTGAGCTCCTGGGAGGGGTGAGCAGGGGACAGGGAGCCTCCTTCTACATCCCACTCATTTATTGCATATGCGCAGGCCCCTCAATCGATGGGGTGGGGTGTGCCTCCTGGCCAGGCTGGCCCACAGGCATCCCACCGTCCAGGGCCCTCCAAGCTAGAGGAAGCCCTCTTGGGAGCAGACCCCCTGCACTCTTCTACCTCAGGCCGCCCCACCCACCCCCTTGGAAGACACCTGCAAGGCTGCCTCCCCCTAGAAGCCTAGCCTGATGCACTGACCACCAGCTCCTTCCTGTGAGTCGCCCCTGGAGCTCTTTGTGCTGTTCCATAGGTCTGTGTTCTCCACAGGTCTGTGGCCCTGCCGGGCATCTGGCAGCCTGTTCAGACAGAGGCTAAGGTCCAGAGAAACGAAGTGACCAGCCCAGGGTCACCTGGGAGGCAGGTGCCAAACCCACTTAGGGGTTCTCTGTCTGCTTCCAACACCCGGCTCTCTCCCAAAGCACCCAGTGTCTCTGAGGGGAACACATTTCTTAAGTGTCCCCAAGCCAGTGGCGGCTTCCCAGTTACCGGCCCCGGAACCCTGTCCCCACCACCGCCACCTGTGTCCCTGCTCCAGCTTTGGGAGCTTTCTCAGCGTGTTCCCCGCAAACTCCCATAGATGCTTCCTCTTGCCAAAAGGCAGCCTCCTCCAGGCAGGCTCCCCTGCACTCTGCAGATTGGGGCATCAAAGCCGGCATCTTTTCCAGTTGCAGGTGCATTTCCCACCGCGGGCTGGGGCCGCCTGGAGGGCAGGGTCCTCAACCCTCCATTTGGCATGGGACTTTTGGCACTGACAGCTCTGAATCCCTGCAGAACCAGGCGGTGGGTCACACGTGCCTTCGCGTGCAGGTGTCAGGCTCAGGTCTCTGGTGGTTTGCAAGCTCCAGGTGCCCCCTCCGCACTAGCTCAGAGCACTTGAGATTAGCACCTGGCCAGCTCGGCGAAAGAACAAACACAATAGTCCAGAGGTTTTGCGTCGGGCTCCCTTCCCCGCCGGGCCTCTGGGACCCCACCTGGGCCA